ATGGTGGTCCTAAATCTGGAATTTTGTATTCATTTAAGGTCCACTTACCATGCACCTTCTCTAAGCCCAAAAATCTTTTGTTACTTTTGCTACACACTCACTGATTTTCCCACCCATTGATCTACTAGGTGTTCCATGGCTCAATGGAAAGTCTGGCCCCATCTTAAAATAACAGCATATATCAAAGTTCCATTGGAAGAGAGAGAATGGTTGGGGAGAGATCACATATATTCCTGTATAAATCGTGATAGGTCTGGATTTCTTCTGCTAATTTGTATTGGCAGAAGAGAAAGTGATAAGTGATATTGTTATTGCTGTTGTTTCATCATTAATCAGTGTGACATTCAAGCAGAAAACAACAAATCAGGAAATTGGTTTCAATACAGAGTAAGAAATGAGATCAAGACAACATCAAAACAAACAAATAAGATTGCACTCCCAAAACAATAAATGAGCCAACTGTGGTCATAGAAGGATGGAAACAAATGGAAAGTATGCATTGATAAAGGTAATGATGAGCCAAATGTTCTCAAATTTTGGAATGGTTCCAGGGTGAAAAAGAGGGGAAATCCCCTGGGAACTTGGGGGAGCAAAACTCACTTCCCTTTACAGCTGAGGAATTTGGAGAAAACATCATGGCCAGCAGCTGCCACCAGAAGCACCAAAGACAAGTGTTCATTACCCATAAAAATGTTCTGCTTCTCACAAATAAGGTCAGGTTCATGCTCAACCCGAGCTAAGTAGGTGAATATCTCTCTAGAGGTCCAAGCTGTGAACTCCTGGAGAACCAGGGTGGTAGACAAGAAGAGTCTGGTGATTTCCAGTGTCGTACAGTTTCTGGGCCCACTTTTATTACTGAGAAGGTCCTAAACTCTTAAAAATAAGAAAACAGATCTACAACCTGCGAATGAGGATGCCCCCAAGGCCAGGTTGGTGTTTGGGTTCTGATTCCCCCCCTACCCCAGCTGCAAATGGAGCTGGCTGTGGACCACCTCTGGTTCATATTATGTTTGCCATGACATCCCCATCTACCAACATTCAGCCCCTATATTTTGTTTCTAAACTTTCTTTTTATAGGAAGTTGGAGGGGACATCCAGTGCTGCAGTTTCACCAGGTGGGCTGTCATGATTGTGTCCTCAGTCATTTAGACTCCTGTGCAGTCTTTGCTTATGTAATATCAGTGTGTCTCTGCCGTGGCTGCTTTTTCGGGCAAGGTTTTTTTTTACACATGAGCCATCAATGTTTTTCTTTCCGCTCCCATTATTGTCATTGTGGAGCATGCAATTCCCTTCTCCTTTTTGCCTTCATTTGATCTGTCATCAAGGATATGTTTTCCTCTGCCCTCCCCCCTCCTCAAAGCCCCCTTTCCCCTCTTGCCATGTCTATTTTGGAATAATACCCACATGGCGTGTTCAGTAGCAAGCCCGTTCCTCCGCAGAAAGGTAAAACAAACAAGATCAAAAAGTCACCAGTGTAAGCAGATGTCAAGTGGCCCCCTGAGAGCTCTACTTAACCCATTGCTCTGGCTTTGTTGAGCCCTGATGAGAAATCCATGGATGAGACCAGGGATAGTTTTTCTGAAGCATTGGCAGAATTTATTATAGAAATGATCCGCTGGGCTGCTCAGTTGCTTTACTTGGCTCTATAGTTATTATAGTTACAGTGCAAACCTATACTAATCTACTCAGGCATAGACCCATGGAGTTCAGGACCTCTTACTTTCAGGTAGGTGGGCATAGGATTGAAGGCTTAAAGTGCAATACCCACTATATATTTGGGAAAGTCATTTGACCGGATGCATTCGGACATCTCTTAACCGTGCGCAACATGGCGGTTCCTGAGATCAATGAGAAGGTTTCCACCTATGTTTTGATACAGTTTGGATCAAGACAGTGAGCAGAACCTCTGCTAATTGACAGACAAGAATGAGGTGGGAGCATGTGTTCTTACAAGAAAGGAAAGGGGGCAGGCAGAAGGGGAAATGAGCTTCATAGGAGACACAACGTAATTTGTAACCTCCCAGCTTCTTTTTAAAATGTTTCCTCCTTAGGCATTTAAAAACTCCATATGTGTTATTTGCATTTGTGGGTGAACTTTACCCATTCCTGAATGGCTAGGTTAGATTCAATATATTCTCCACTAATTTCACTAATTATTTCCATTAATATATTGAGTTCTATGTTTTTGGCTTTTGGCTTTTTCTCTTTGGAAGACGCCTGTGCGTGAATTTGTTTTATGTGTGTAGATCAGTGCACGCTGACCAACGCACAGTCTTCGCAGTAAGGCTCTATTCCAATGGCATGAGTATCACGACGACAGGTAGATTCTTTGTCCACCTTCACAGCCATTGTAACATACCGCTTGTTATCATCCACCTGTTCTGCCGTTGAGGACTTCTTGCGTCATTCTGGGTCTAGCTCCTCCCCTTTGACCTTACTGCCTTGGGGGACGAGATTCCCCGATGGCTTCGCTCACAAGGGTCATAGGAATGTGCAAGCCCATTCACCATAATGAGGTGATGATCCAGCACCTGACCACTATGTGCCTTTTCCTACACATTGCATGGTTGCAGAATGGCCACTTACCCAGTACGAGGTCGGGTGGTGATTGCAACCCAGCACGGAGCTTTCCCCATCCTCTCAAAGCCACGGCATCTTTAGACTGGCCATTGGCTCCTCTCCCCTGGCTGATGCAGAGCCAGCTGGGTTCCCACCAAATCCAGTTCAAATTCTGGCCAATCTGAGGGCTGGGCAATGGAGCGGACTGCCCTGCCAGAGTCTTCACTCTGGTCCTCTCCACAAGCGCTTACATTGCGTGGTTGCAGAATAGCATTGCGAAATTTGGAGAGCGCGCCATTTGAAGGTGACCGTGTTTCAGTTCACAGAAGTGTGGTGGAAGTTCACCTTTCAATGCAAACTAGATCAAATTTCTTCCCCGTTCCTGCTCATTGGTCAGTAAATCATGATGTAATCAAATCCACCCAATCTTTTTTAAAAATGCATTTGTCTTCAGTATTATTCCTGGTATTTTAAAATGTTTTTTTAGCTCTGGGCTTCTGCAAAGAACTAATTTCACATAACCAAGATGGTGGATTTGGTGGGGTGGAGTTCAGTACACTGTGAGCAAGTTGTGCGATTGCTTCACTCCATCCCAGCTCAGTGCACTGCCCCTGGAAATGGGTTGATTGGGTAGCAGGAAAAAAGAAAAGAACAGCCCAGGTGGATCAGACCAAAGGCCCATCTGTTTAGTCAAGGGTCCTGCTTCTCAGAGCAGCCAGCTAGGTGCCTCAGGAGAGTCCAGGCAGTGCCGCCCTCCTACTGTCCCTCCCCAGGATACGGCCTCTGACCTTGAGGCAAGGTGGGTGGGAGCTGGGTATGATCACTTGCGTGGCGAGATCCCACCTCCCACCAGTAGAAATAAATACACAGGACACAGTAATTTAGGTTAATGGGCTAAAATTAGGCCACAACTTTATTGGTTACAGGTGATGAGCGGTATTGGCTTAGGCATTGGTCCTATCAACTATCCGGCTTCAGCCTGATTGCTTGAAGACCAGGAAGGGTTAACACCAGCAGGGGGAGCCCTGCTGATGCACGTCAACTAGGGACTCCCCCAGGGTCACCGCTCGGGGGCGCGCTTTAGGCCCTGACCTCCATAGGCTTCGGACAAGGCAACGCTCCCCGGAATCCTTTACCGGACTACCCTTCAATATTTGGGGGAGGTGATGGCGCTCCTCCCCCCCATACATCTACATAACAATACCCATACCAATGCCTAACCGCCAAAGCCGAGAAAGCCGATTTGCTACGAGGTAGGCGAAAAACCAAATGGCTGTTGCCAATTTGCCAAGTGGAAAAAAAATTCCTACCAGGCCCCTTAACGGCGACCAACCAAAGTCCATAGCAAGGTCAAAAGAGGAACCTTGAAGGGCGGGTAGGTGGGAAACAAACGCAGCTGAGTGGCCAAAGAGGGAGATTCCTGGCCACGCTTGCCTTAAATGAGGCAAACCACACCCCCTGGGCCAGCCGATTGGCTGGCCCGGGGATGACGCGGCTGAAGATTTCCCAGATCGTGCGGGGCTGGGAGCCAGCCTCCGCGCGCGTGTTGGGGCATGATGCCCGCAACACCACCTCCTCCCAAGGTCGGAAGTGGCTTTGCTCAACTCTTCACCACCACAGTTAACTTTATCCATTGGTTTGTGTGAATTGGCCAATAATTATTTTGAAAGTAATCATGACACCACTGAGATCAATGGCAGTGATTCTAACCGAATTCCAATCTCACCTGCTGTCTCTTTGCTGTGTTGGGTAGTAGCCTTCTTCCCAAGAGAAAGAAACCCCCTCCTTTTTTTAAGCTAAAGGATTTGTAGACGTTCACTGCAACAATATAGCCGTATTATGCAGCATTTGACTATGTTATTTATACAAACGTCGGATGCGATTGTATCCAGCTGATATGAATTAAGGATCCGTTCAATCAAAGTGTGAATTGTTGCAGAATTTCGCACTAACGAGATACAGTGAACAACGAATGATTTCTCTGATAGTCATAGCAATTGTATGTGGTAACATCCTCTCTCTGCTCCTTTTAAACAAATGCCCAGAAAAGGATAAAATCTAACACAGACACAATTCATCTTTTTAAAAGCAGCGTTCGCTTTTTGCAGAACACATCGCCATAACAGCTGGCAAGGGAGGGGGAAATATCCTGCTATACTGTAGGAAGATTTCTCTCCTTAATCAAAAGCATTTGATGGCCGGCCGTTAATAATGTGTTTGTCGGTAACTGTAGTCTAGTTCAGTCAATGTTCTTTGAACTGGAGGGTCACATTTGGGTCTCTTGCAAGCCCTCAGTGGGCTCTGCAGAGAATTTGATTCCGCCTTGTTCTTGTAGCAGGAGATTCAGGTTGCCTATGAAATGGCATGCTGAGACCACGGATCATCTGCGGAAGATGACGGGCAAGAGGCACAACGTTTCTGCTATATTTCATGTGTTGTAGATCACGGTGATGAATGTGATATCGTATACCACTGGGGACGGTTTAGTCTTGCAACTCAAGAAGGCTTTCGGACCATAAACGGGCTGGGACCTGTTTCCCCTTCAGTCTCAAGTAAAGCTAGTACCGGATCCAGCAGCAACAGGATTGATGATGGAACAAATTCATGAAAATGTCATTCAGAAGATGTCAGCTGTTTTTATTTAAACAGAATCCAGTCCGGTGTCTACACCAATCCATAAATATTTCCAACACCATCCAATTATTTAACACGTTTAGACATTGGGAACTCTTCTCTTGATCATGTAAATAACCGAGGCATTAACTACTACTACTACTACTACTACTACTACTATTACTACTACTACTACTACTACTACTACTACTGTTGTCTTTGTCCATGGAGTGCTGGAGGAGACTCTTGAGAGTCCCATGGACTGCAAGAAGATCAAAGCTATCCATTCTGAAGCAAATCAGCCCTGAGTGCTCACTGGAAGGACAGATCCTGAAGCTGAGGCTCCAATACTTTGGCCACTTCATGAGAAGAGAAGACTCCCTGGAAAAGACCCTAATGTTGGGAAAGATGGAGGGCACAAGGAGAAGGGGACAACAGAGGACGAGATGAGTGGAGAGTGTTCTCGAAGCTACCAACATGAGTTTGACCAAACAGCGGGAGGCCGTAGAAGACAGGAGTGCCTGGCATGCTCTGGTCCATGGGGTCACGAAGAGCCGGACACGACTAAACAACTAAACTACTACTACTACTACTACTACTTATTATGTATATGCTGCCCATCTGACTGGTTTGCCACTCTGGGCAGCTTCCAACAATTTAAAACACAACACGACATCAGACATTAAAAACTTCCCTATACAGGGCTGCCTTCAGATGTCTTCTAAAAGTCAGAGAGTTGTTTATTTCCTTGACATCTGATGGGAGGGCATTCCACAGGGCAGGCATCACTACCAAGATTCAGATCTCTTTAATCATATTGTTTTGTTCACACACTAAGCTTTCAGATTTGGATCTAAAGAGCAGCCTTTAAAAGGTGCAGGTTCAGACCACGATTGCTTCAGTGTAGAGCATTTCAACAGGACAGGAAGTTGCATCGGGGCTGCAGGGCCTGTTTGCCCTGGTTCCAATTCCACAAAAGGCAGCTTGCGTCTCTGCGGTGTTGCTGTTTTCAATTCAGAACAAAGGTAGGCTCCTGATCCACACAACTACCAGGCGATGTCACCTGCTGGCCCCACATAAGTTGCTGCCTGGTATCGGGTTCTTGCTGCCCTTTTTATGATGCTCCGTTTAAAAAGGTCATGGTAGGCTGAGAATCCTAATGAAATTCAATCCTCCCATTTAACAAGGAATCTAGTGAGATGTGTCAGACGGAGAAGGGAAAGAATTGGATGCATCTTAAACTGTGGTTATGCCAAAGCACTTTTGGGACATGGATACAAGGCCTACGGAGGCCACATCTTGCTAAGATGCATGTCACTCACTAGAAACCTCTTGTTTTTGCAAGCAGGGCTAAAATGATTCAAAGGTGAAATTAATACACACACACGGATGAGTGCATTTTTTGATGAATCAAGAGATATCAGGCCACTTAGGACATCCATGCCGGCAGAAGTCTCCAATCCTTTGTTTTTATCGTTGTGGAGCAAAATGGTTACACTCACAGGCTATCTGGAGCCCCTGACATCTGGCAAGTCTATATTCTGAGATGTGAGTTGTTCGTTGCCTCCTTCTAAGCTCCAGGGAATGAGGCTGATGCCCCATTTGATCTGCTAATCCCTGTCACCCCTGAGACAGCCCAGCCCAAGCCAAAGAAACAATGACTGGCTTTCTAGCTGACAAGTTTTCCTCCAAAGGTGTGGTCCTCGTGAGAGGACAAGACAACTGCTTGCTCGCTTTCTCCTGGTTGTCATCAGCAGTGAGTTAAGTGGAAAGCTTTTGTTAACCTGTTTGAACTGCCTTGACTGTGATGAAACAGTTTTCATTAGCAGCCAGTGTATTCTGTTTCTTAAATTTCCCCGAGTTTATTTTTCCTTTCAGGTGTAACATGAACCCACAGGTTATGTTTAAGATTTGTTTAGGAAGGTTAGTTTGTCCAGAGGCAGTAAAGCATTTGAGTGAAGCAAAATCTTCTGCGTTCACAGTTATTATTCACTGTGTTTGTCTTTTTCATAACATCCCCGCTCCTTCCAGCTACAGTATCTAGAGATACATTTTGCACTGCCAATCTTTCAAATAAAGCGGCTGGCTCCGTAATGAGAGACGTTTTTATGAGACCCACACAGCATTCTACAGGTGACAATAGCATGTTTTTAAATGCAAAGCGCCACTGAAAGAAACACAGTATTCACTGTGTGCACCAACCATCAGGCTTTTATTGTTGAGAATCTGATGGCTTTCAAGTTTCACAGTCTAGTTGTTTTGGGTTTTTTTGGAGGGGGGTATTGAACAGCAGTAAAGAAAAATCCATGAAGATCAAAGGTTGTGTGCAGATCACAAAACAGTGGTTGGGCTAATAAAAGGAATCTCCTTTCCTACCTGGAGACCTTCTGTTTCAGTGGGAATGACTCAGCAACAACATATTGTCCCCAAGACACAAGAGGATTTGATTCTGCTTCTAGCAATAGCCTCACCTGGTGGCAGCTCCTTAGGCAACCAGCTGTGATCCTGATACTTTTGAAGCTAGAGAGCTGTAAGCAGAGGAAAGCCAACATTGCAAACAATAAGCCTTGAGCTGCAATAAGGAATTGCCATGACATACATATAGTGGTCCCTTGGTTCTCAAACTTAATCCATTCCTGAAGTCTGTTCCAAAACCAAAGCGTTCCAAAACCAAGGCATGCTTTCCCATAGAAAGTAATGCAAAATGAATTAATCCCTTCCAGACTTTTAAAAACAACCCCTAAAACGGCAGTTTAACATGAATTTTACTATCTAATGAGACCATTGATCCATCAAATGAAAGCAATAATGAATGTACTGGAGTCACACAATCAATCGATCAATCAATCAATCAATCAATCAGTAGCTGAACTGGGTTCCACACAGTTACAAAAACAAAAGAGCCACAAAAACAAAAACGCAAAATAAATAGCAAAAACAGACAGACCTCAGTGTAACACTCAAAACGGAGCATGTTCGGCTTCCGAAAAAAATTCACAAACCAGAACACCTACTTCCGGGTTTGCAGTGTTTGGGTTCCAAGTTGTTTGAGTACCAAGGCATTTGAGAACCAAGGTATATATGAGCTTGGCAAGGAAAGTTGCCACTTCTTATTCCGCAGAAGAGAAAGTGATGGATGATGGATGGCATCAAAACCTGTCTTGGGAGCGGGGAATCGAGGATCAATTGTCATGGAGCAGCTGCATTTACACTCTGGCTTCAGTTTACGCTGCTTGCTCAGAGAGAACCCACAAGCAGGAACAAGTCCAGCATTGCAAGGAAGAATTAGCACTCTGTTCATATCCAGATCCAGTTTGTTAGTTTATACTGTCAAGTGTACATAAAATCCACTTCACCATATTAAAAATATGACACAGGCCACAGTCGATAGGAAACCGCTCTATGACTCCAGGTGGGAGTCTTTCCAGGTAGAACTGAGAGTTTGTGTGTCATCCTTGCACAGGGGTAGGGATGGGGAGAAATTTGATTCAGTTTTCATTCAAAGCCAAATTCAGCAAATTTTCACAATCCATGAAACGAAACAGAGCTATCCTTTGAAATTTGCAATTATACAAATTTCGCAATACAATTCTTTAGCCAAACAAGGTTTGCAAACATCCTTGTATTATGGGGAAATGTGTGTAAAAGTGAATATAGAAGTAAGAATAGCATATACACATGCACTGTATAGTGGAAAATGGAAAATTGTGTAGGTTAATCAAAACTGCATACAAAAATGTGTTCATGAGGAGAAATTTGCGGTAAAATACTGTTGCATTTTTAGAGGATATTTTTTAAATCACAAATTGCTGCAAAAATGTGGAGGTCATTAGCTTGAGGTCATGCTGATCTTCTTGGTATCGGTCCAAATTTCATATACTTGTCATGAAACCAAATTTCATTTCGGGCATGTAAAATTAAATTAAATGGAAAAAGAATAAAATCTGATGATAAGGTCCAATTTTTTACAGCCAACATTATTGTGATATATGGAAGAATTTATTTCTGCCACTAGTGTTAAGTTAACTGGCACATGTGGCCATTAAGTGAATATTTTCTTCAAGGAATATTTTCAAGGGAGAAATTGTTCCAAGACCCCCCCATTACTGGAGGTTAAATCATGGGGAGCTGAGACCCAACTCTGAGGCCTGCCTGGAAAAATTCTTTCCCCCAGTCTGATTTGGTATTCTATTCTGAAATTTGACAACGCAGCTTAGAAATTTCTAACGCCAATAAATAAATTTTGCTTCTAGCTGTTGGAAGTACTTTATATTTTTTTAAAAAATCTGTAAAAAGAAGGTCCATTTCTCATTTAATGCTGTGTTAAAATCACAATTTAATAGATAGCGTTGAGACACATTTCCAATATCCATCACTAAATATGGACCAAATTTTTACATTTATGTATACTGCTAAACCTAACTATCCAGAATAAATATCTCAGCTTATGAGGAATGATTGGCCTCAGGCAAAAATCTCTTTAAACAAAACCAAACCTGAGAAAAGTGACTCAAGTCCAGTTTCTCTTTTCCATTCCAAAATCCAGTTTTTACTAGCAAGTTTTCATTTTGCTAAAACAAAAGGGCCCGTCTAAGCACATGCTGACATCTCTCCCATTGGCATCAGTGAAATGGCAAAGTCCTGGACTTTGGCTGTGAAGAGCCCTGTGATTTCTGCTCCGCAAAACACCAAGTTCTTTTTGGGCACTTTACAACGACATTGCCAGAGGAAATCCAAAACAGACTTCATTAGCAACCAAGGAGTAATAAGCACATAAGGATGAATTGTCCCTTAACAATGCTTTTAATATACACATCAGACATGAACATGTTCTCCATTAGCAGTAAATACATCCAAGTGTGTAAATTCTCTTATCTCGTTTATCTTCGAAAGGGGGGCTGGTGTTGTTCTTTTTAACCGAGCAACAGCTGATAGTTATGGTAACCTCAGTTCATCAGCAGTCTCTTCGCAATTTCAGGAAAGGAAGGGAAAGTG